GGAAGTCGGGAATGCCACCACGGGGGGATGGGTGAGGTGTGCCTTCAGTGTGGCAGGAAGTCGGGAATGCCACCACGGGGGGATGGGTGAGGTGTACCTTCAGTGTGGCAGGAAGTCGGGAATGCCACCACGGGGGGATGGGTGAGGTGTGCCTTCAGTGTGGCAGGAAGTCGGGAATGCCACCACAGGGGGATAGGTGAGCCTATGCGCTCAGTGTAGGAAATCAGGAATGCCACCACAGGGGGATGGGTGAGGTGTGCGCTCAGTGTGGCAGTTTGCATTCCTTAACTACCTCTTCAGAAAGCTGGGCTATGACTGGGCACAGGGGCCTCTGGTACCAACTTTTGCCACCCTTACAAACACTACAAGGAAACGTGGAAATACATGGATGATGCCATCTAATTCAAACCAGGAAAGGAACAAAATCCAAGAGATTGAAGGAAAGAGTTAAACCGAAGGCAAAATGTGATGTCAAAGACCCAGAGTGGAAATAATAAGTAAACACAACTGACAATTTCTGAGGGAAAAAAATAAGAGCAAACCACTAATAATCTAATCATGGAAACATTAGTAACACAAATATATCAAGGAATGTGTATTAGGGATGTGTTTAGAAACTGAGAAAATAGAAGAATTAATCAAGAGATTACTTAATTATATGCAAATGTATTTAAACTTGGATTAAAAAGATTTTTTTTTCTAGGGAATATACAAATGGTAAAAGTGAATTCAAATAATCAGACAGAAACATAGCTGAGTTGAGAGTTGAGGGTTACAGAGACCACACAAGAGCATCAATCTCCCTGAGGATGAGAATTCAAGAGATGATGATCTCCTCCTCTTATATCGACTTTTGCGATATCCCAGAAACCATCAGGGTTTCCTCAGTTAGAAGAAGCAATAATTAAGACCCAAGGGCCCAATGATCCAGATCTGGATAAAGGAGACTGGCTTGGGGCACTGGGGAACGGGAGAGGGAGAAGTCACCCCAGAGACAACTAGGCGAAGCTCGTACCCTCACTCAAATCAAGGTTGCCCGCCGTAGCCCCTTATTATACAACCCTGCTTCTCCCGCATCGTTCTTGGTCATTCCAGCCTATTTCCTTTTCCATTAAGAAATGTTCATCATTGTTGGCAGTTGTTTGCTGACTTGGGAACTGTTGGGCCCTTCTATGAGAACGGAGAGCTCATCCTGTTGAATGATGCTAGCTAGACCTTAAACATCTGTTGAATGAGTAAGTGGGGCATTTGGGTGAAGTAGTGGCGGACAGTAAAGAACATTTTGCATTGTGAGGGTTCAGCAAATCTGGGGCAGCTACAGGCTTAAAGGAGAGAGAGTGTACGAGGTCTGTCTGGGTCAGAGAGGCTGGGGCAGTGGTTTTCAACCTTCCTCCCTCCCTCCCTCCCTCCCTCCCTTTCTCTCTCTCTCTCTTTTTTAAAGATTTATTTATTTATTATGTATACAGTGTTCTGCCTGCATGTGTCCCTACAGGCCAGAAGAGGGCGCCAGATCTCATTACAGATGGTTGTGAGCCACCGTGTGGTTGCTGGGAATTGAACTCAGGACCTCTGGAAGAGCCACCGCTGCTCTTAACCACTGAGCCATCTCTCCAGCCTGGTTTTCAATCGTCCTAACCCTACAAAATCAGTGGCTCTCAACTTTCCTGATGCTGCGACCCTTTAATACAGTTCCAGATGTCATGGTGACCCCCAACCATAAAATTATTGTATTGCTACCTTATTAGTGTAATTTCGTGACTGTTATGAATCATAACATAAATGACATGCAAGATATCTGATATGAGACCCCCCCACAAAGGGGTCATGACCCACAGGTTGAGAACTGCTGGGCTAGAGGGACAAATTGGAAAGACTAGCTATATGCCAAGACTTGATAATTAATAAGAGGAAAATAAGTATATTTTATACTTTGCTTATGAAAAGTCAATATAAATAGTTACAAGCTAGCCGGGGTTGGGGATAGATAGGAGTGGTGTGGGGGTGGGTGGGGGTGGGTAGGGGTGCGGTAGGGGTGGGTAGGGGTGGGGTGGGGGGTGTTGAGGGTAGTGGCACATGCTTTCAATCCCAGCACTTGGGAGGCAGAGACAGGTGGATCTCTGTGAGTTCACAGCCAGCCTGGTCTACAAAAGCAAGTTCTAGGACAGCCAGGGCCATTACACAGAGAAACCCTGTCTTGAAAAATTAAAAACAAACAAAAAACCAAACCAAACCAAAACAAAAAACCAGTCAAAAGCTAACTCCACCTGGTTTTCACGCAATGCCTTAAGAAACCCAGACTCAGAGATCTTGATGAACAGCAAGCTCAAAATGAGTGATGATTATTATGTGCAGTCCAAACCCACACGCTGCAGTGGGTGACCCTGGCGGGATCTGTTGTCTTCATGAGAACAGGGCAGGCTTGCTGAGCTGAGTACTGGTTTCTGAGTGCTATACTTGAATAAGCACAGAGTTAAACTTGGGCATATTGAGAAGAGAGAGCCACAGGCCAATAAAGAGGCTCAAAAATAGGTTAGGTGGGGGTGCAGTTAAAGGAACTGGGCTATTTTGCTTGAAGAAGGAAAACTTAAAAGAGAAGCGATAACATCATCCAGCCGCCAAAAGGGCTGCCATGTGGAAGCAGGGCTGGAGCCGCTTCTGAATCACCTTGAGGGTGTAACTAAGAATAATTGACAGAAACCAAGGGCTGGGCTGATTTCAGCTCTACACAGTGAGGACTTCTGAGCTGTCAGAACTGCTGGAGAGAGAGGGAAGGCAGAGAGAGCCTGTCAGCTCAGGGATCAAGGACACACAATACGCTCACACTCAGCAGCGCTGGACACAGCCCCAAGGACCACACCAGATGTCAGACTAACTGGCTTCTGCATCTTCCCCTCACACGGGAACCCATGACCAACAGTGACCTTCGACTTGTCATTTCCTTCATGAGACTCGTCATGTGAACATGTTTAGTCAACTCAAGCATTCGACCGATGTAAGGCATTGTTACATTTTTAAATTATCTCAACTCTGCTCCATTATCATAATCTCTTAGTTTCTTCAGCCTTATAAAGATTTTAATGTGTCAGTGTTAAATTTATATTATTATGACTATTATTCAATTTTTGAAATGCTTCATAAAGTAGTTTTTCATCTTTTACTAAGGAAAAGATATATTTCATATGCCAATCATGGTCCTGGCCTTAGGGTGCAAAAGGCTGGAATAGTTGAGTTTACATGTATCACCTCATAGGGCAGAACTCACTGATATCAATAGTTTCCTTTTGAGAAAATGTGTGTAAAAATGTTTCTGCATTAGTAAAGAATAAATCAACACATCCACTAATAAAGAAACTCCACTTACTGTGATAAAACTTGACTAGGGTCCTTTAACTGGCATCTTCTTACGTCCCAATCATTTTCAGGCAATGAAAATGTGACATTGGGTAGCATGTCACAAGATATCATGACTCGGAAGAATTGCCGGATAAATGAAGGGTTGAGTTTTATTTGTGGTGGGGGCTGGAGAAGATGGCTCAGCAGAGGCCTTGAGTTTGGTTGCCAGTGCTCACATCCGGTGGCTCACGACTCCTTGTCACTCTAGCTCTAGGGAGATGGGACATCTCTGGTCTCCTGCACTTCTGTGCTTGTACTCAGCACACCATTACACACACACACACACACACACACACCCCATAATCGATCTTGAACTTTTCCTGAGATGTCCGACATATCTTCTCCACCAAATTCCAATATCATATCTATGTAATGGCTCGGGGAAATTGATATAACATGTCCTTTCAATTTTCCCCCACCTATCTAGGACTTGGCAGAGAGGGACACAACCAAGGTGGCTGATGAAAAAGAAATAGGAACCGAGATGAGAGGTAGCTGGATATACACTCAAACCTGTTCTCCAGGCTGTTTGTGTTATGGATGGCAGCAGGATGTCTGTAGAGACATGTCTACGACACACCTTCACATATCACAACTACATCACCCTAACAATGAGTACCAAGGAAAACTGTGGTTTTCATTCAAGCCAGGCATGCCCAGGAATCAATGGGGTCACTGGTCATTGGCAACTCCCTTGTTTACAGGCTCAGATCCCCCTTCCCATCTTTGTGGAATGCTTGCTAAAACCATAACACAATGGAACCTGTCTCCATTAACCCTGCCGAACGGTCTGCTTCATATCCACCTAAGCTTTCTATATGGAACACTTGGCCATCAGGGGCCTATCAATGTATGATAAATGCCCATGACTTACAAGAAGGATAGAATTCTAGGCCAACAGGCGAAAGTGCTCAGGTTGTCCAAGGTGGACATAAGATATAGGTTACCAAAAGACATTCTGCACATGGAACAGAGGTAAATCTTCCATACCTTGACTCCCATAGCTGGCATCAATTCCAGACCCATCCCAGGAGTCCACAGCACTGTCCACACTGGGCACCGTGGAGGGGTACACATCGGAGAGCTTGCCAGGCTTCTGTATTGGGGAGGAGTCCTCTTCACCATCTCCCAGGTCACTCGAGTGGCTGGGGATGGGGAACTTCTTGGGACTTGATGCTGATTGGGCTTTACAGACAGGGAAAGAGGGTATGCATCAGTGTAAATTCAAATAAAAAGATTCTTGAATATTCTAGCTGGAGAGCCATTTCCCTAGAAACACACACAGATACTAAGCGCATTCTTTTAGGGAAGGAAACACACTGGAAATTCTTAATTGGGACTCTTGTCCCACTCACCATCTGTCTGTTTCTTAATTTTCAGGGTTACAGTCTCTCCTGCCATCTGTAGCAAGTGGATGGCTTCACTCAGAGGCTTTCCCTTCAAGCTGCTGCTATTGATGGCTAGAATTCGATCTCCGATGTGGATCGCTCCAGTCCTGGAACACCAGACAGGGGTAGAGAAGGGAGATAAATTCCCAATATGCCTGCACATTAATTATAATAAAGACTTGGTGAGGTCTCTAAAATTCACTTCTAGCTTGCTCTTGGGAAATGCCGCAAATGCATCTGTTGTGAATTGCTTTTTAGTAGTTTCCAATAAAATTAGAAAGAGTGTCTTAATTAGTTGTGAGAATGGTCTTGGGTATTTTTTAAACTCCAAGAAAGCTGAGTCATTTGGTAAGCTCCTTACAGGTCCCCAGGAAATGAACTCAGAGGGACAACAGTTGTAGCAGTGTGTAGCAGGCAACATTCTTGATTCCCACAATTTAAAATGTTTAATGCAAAGCGGTGCTCACTTTAAGACAAGTTCAAGAGATTGGGGCAGACAATCAGACCAGACAAGAGTTGCAGCAGCCTTTGCCTCATTCTGAGGGTTGAAAAGGATTATTTAGGGCTAAGTTTAAGTCTGTCTCTGTCACCCACCAGGTCAGCTGTGTGATGACATGGGTCACCTTATTTTAACCTCTCTGGGTATTAATTTCTCACCACTAGAATGGGGGTGATCATCTCAAAGGGAAGCCCCGAGGATGAGATGGAAAATGTGTATAAGAGCTTGGTTTGAAATGTGGATAAAGAAAACATTCAACCCCTCAACTGATTAATCATTTTTTTGGGTGTGTAGTATATGTATATGTTTGTGTGCATATACATGTGTATGTGTGGGCATGTCAATGTCAGAAGTCAACACTGGGTCTCAATCACCCTCTACCTCATTTATCTCTCTCTCTCTCTCTCTCTCTCTATATATATATATATATATATATATATATATATAATCTATCATCTATCTATCTATCTATCTATCTATCTATCTATCTATCTATCTATCTATCTATCTATCGTCCATCTATCCATCCATCCATCCATCTATCTATCTCTATTGATTTATTGATTTATTATTGTTTAAGTCATAGCCTTTCACTGAATCTGGAGCTCATCAATTTGCCTAGGGTGGTTGACCCTGAGCTCTAATGGTCCTTCTCTCGTAGTGCTCCGGTGCTGTGGGGATAGGTGCACACTTCTGCCCCCGACTTTCACATGGTACCTGGGATACAAACTCTGTCTGCATGCCTGTGCAGCACATGCTTTGCTAAGGCATCCATCTCCCAGCCCCAGAAGAGACATCGATTTGCTGATTAATACACTGAATAGCTGTATCTTTTAACCTTTCTCGTTATACCCTCATCCAATCTGAAAGAGTACAATGGAATGTACAATTCTGATGTTTATGTGTCATTGTGAGGAAGCAGAGAAAGGGATAGGAGAAGACCATAGATGACTGAATCTTTACCCTGAGATAAAGAGTCAAGCCTAAGTACAAATGTCAGACCTTGGCTGCACTGGGTCTCTTTATAAGTTCAGATAACGAAGGAATTAACCCTGTTTACAGGGTTGCTGGGGACTGGGTGCCTTGAACACAGCTTGTTGTAGGACTATAACTTGGAGGACAGATATGGTACAGCGTGGACTGGTCAGGAGGGGCTGCTTAACCATTGTAGTTTGAGTTATGGAATTTTTCTCTGAAAGAAAAAAAAAACAACTCTTTTCTCATAGAGAGTATTGGTTCAAGAAAGATGTAGGTTGTGAGATCTAGGTGCAAAGAAACATTTTTGCTGAATCTCTCATTGTCCAACAGTAATTAACTAGGAAGGGGGGGGGGAATACCTGAAGAGCATACACCCTCTCCCAGGTGTCTCCGCTAAAATCAGAATATTAAATCCCAGTCGAGTAGCCCTGGCTCGCCACCTCAGCCCCCTCATCCGACAGACAGAGCTGTCAAGTGAGCTGACTTCTAAATACGGGCCCTTGTAGTTCTGAAATTCTGCAGCGCTACATTCGTATCTTGCAAACGACTGCCATCAAATGTCAGCCTGAATGATGTGCCTGAGCATTCTCGAGCTAAGTCACTGGAAAATAGATAACTTAGGGAGTCTGTTGTGTGCCCAGCAACATGCCTCAGGGGGAAAAAAAAGCGCAGTTCAGTGGAGGGAGGGCAGAGAGCAGGTGGGCCCGGTGTATCCCTGTCAAAGAACAAATGGACGGTGCTCAACAAGCCACTGTTGAGAGGGTGACTACACTCTGTCAGCTGTAGGCTTTGAGGACCAAGTCTTCATTATCGTCCCCGCAATACAGAGAAGCTTAGTACAATACCTGCCAAGCAACAGAAAGCTCAGCAAATGTTTGCAGAATTGATTTGGACAAGCCTTTTAACCTCCCTCAACTTTAGTCTCCTCTTCTCAAAATGGACATAGTATCAATGTACCGGCAGCCGACTGTGGTCTCCCAACACATTTTTTTTTTTTTTTAAAGAGAGTAATACCCATGCTAAGCCTATGGCATCCTTCACCGCCTGTTAAGATGCCCTTCAACGTCAAGTCAAAGCTCTGCCGGAGAGTTCCCAAGCTTGAAAATCAATCCTCTGTGCAGATTTAAAAGTCAACAGATAAACAGCCAGGAGAAGCGAGCATGTTTTCACACAGCTGTGAGGGAGCAAGCTCCTCTCGGCCACAGGTAATTATAACAGTTCCTTCAAATTTTACCTTTCAGCTAATCCCCCTTTAGTGAGGCTTGAGATGATTATAGGATCAAACGGCTCTTCAGTTCCTGAAATTGTGATGCCAAGGGGCCCCCCATAGCGCTTCAGCTCCACCGTATAAATAATCGCTCCGGAACTTTCTTGCTCATCTGCAGTAAATGCCAAGGAATCGTAATTGGTTTCGTTGGAAAAAGAAAAATAATGCATATATTCCTCCGTAGAGCAGGAAATCTGAGACTTCACTGCTGAAACACTATGGCTCAGAAAACAATTATTTCAGGAAGTAGCATTTCTATAATAGGATTTCACATTCTAATTCAGGGATGAAGTTGTCGTGAGCACTAGGGATGGGGAATTGCTTGTATTTAACCAGTGGGTGGCCCACCTAATGATGGCCACAGAACCTCCATGCTATGTCTCTGCCAGGCACAGTGCTTGGCCAGCCTTCCACTAAGTATGTGATCAATGCCCATGGAATAAACACACAGCTGAGTAGACAATACAGAATGAGAATGCCGCTCAGTAACTCAGAAAAATGTCCATTTCCAGGATTTACAAACATACCATTTCTCAACCTAAGAAAATCAGTTTTGCACAGGGTTGGGTCAAATGATAATACTTGTTTGCACTGGACTCAGAGAGGTTATCTTAAAGACAATACCAGGATTTTAGAAATTTTTTTTCCATATAATTCCATTGACAGTGTCTTAGTCCCATTGATCATCCCAGGGGCACTGGAACATAGGTTTGAATAATGCTGTCTCTGCTACAGAGTAAGAGCTGATGCTAACTGTTCATACATTGCAGGAACCTCTACCAGGCCGCCATATAGTCATGTGTTCTGTAGGCCAGTTAATAGTGGTAAGAAAGGAGACATTTCTGTTCTTCCCCAAACATTGGTCAGAAAGATGTCCTAAGACACTTTCAACACACGGTGGGTGCCATGACTTCGTTCGGGTTCCACGATAAAGTCTCAGGATCAAAGGATTTTTATTTGCTTATGTTTAGAATTCCTGCCATTTGTTTTATCCATTGGTCTGAGAGCTGTGAATGGTTAAGGAGCCGTTTCATTTCTGTACCTCGGGATGCAATGAAATGGTCCAGTAACTACTTGAAGAAAACAGTCAGTTTTTACAGTCAGAGTGTACAGAGTAAGGTATTCACGGAGCCACATTTTTTTGCAGTAAGCAGCTATTCATTTACGATATGAAATGCTCAAATAAAGAGGCAAAGAAAAGCTTGAGTTAACAATTCAATTATCTGTGTGTGCAGTGAAGAACTAGGGGGAACATAAAAGGCAAGGTCAGGGGAGTAATGTGGGCAGGGACATGCCCTCTCTTATCAGCATTTACTTTATTCTTGGCCACAGCCCGGGAGTTCTGGAATGCAGCCACTGCCACTGCCACTTCCCATGGGCTCTGCTCCTCACCAGCTCCTCATGCTGGGAATCAAAGGCCACCCACCATAAGATGCAGTGCTAGGATCAACGCCTTAGGTTATAAAAGTACTCAGTATCTGGCTCACGCGGGATCAGCAGCTTCGGCTCCTCCACATCACGCTGAAGAGCTCTGGGAGATGGCCCCCAAGTTTCTTCCAGGCTGCAGCTTACGTTGTGGTGAACAGGCTGGTCAACATGAACTACTCAGGGCTCCAGAGAGAAGCATCAGGAGATGGTTTAGTGAATTCAAGCTCAGAAGCCCACATTTTCTGATAGTATAATGTTGTGTTACCTGCCAGAGCTGTCTTTGATCTAAACAAATTAGGGATCTAGTGAGTAGATTATATTTCTGTTGCAAGCTGCGTCAATAATTATATTCTGGGTAGAATCAGGAATGATTCATTTGATTAGCGACCCTGACATTATTAAATAATAGCTAATATCATTTCTTTCTGCTGGTTTTCCACTGGCTGCTCTGTTAGGAGGGTGTGCTCTTCGGCAAACCATGACCTTTCGGTGTGCTCCATGTAATCTGCATGTGAGAACAAGCACCAGGCATCATCCAGATTGAGGCATTAGCTTTCTATGAGAATTGGGAAAATGCAGTTAAAAGCCACAGGAGACCCAGGGATTTTTGGAAAAGTTTTAGGTGAGGCTTCAGCCTAGATTAAAATACTGGCCGAGAGGAAGGTGAACTCGGAGGCAGACCCACTTGCTGAGAGGAGTAGAGAGACCTTGTCCAGTTAGTTTGTCCTTACATCACAAAAGGACAAATAACACAGAGGATGACAGAGTAGGTGGATTTAGGATAGCCATTTCAGGCCAGCTTACATGGGGACGTTTTATATTAGCACCTGGGTAGTTGGTAAAGAAGACAACTGCTGAGCACTCAGTGTGTGACACAGATACAAAACAAGAAAACGGCAACATTATACTAAAAACACATTCTTCAAATGGTAATGGCGAGGCAAAAAGTAGATCTATGAGGATTCTAATATAAACAAACCAATTGTTTAAAAAATAGATTTCAGGGCCGGGCGTTGGTGGCGCACGCCTTTAATCCCAGCACTCGGGAGGCAGAGCCAGGCGGATCTCTGTGAGTTCGAGGCCAGCCT